CAAATTCTCAGGTATCATCAATAACTGCCATATCTAACTACTACAACTTTTGTTTTCAGCAGAAATATCTTTTTTATATTTTTATGATTAAATATGATGAAATATGACTACAAATCTTGAATAACTTTTTTTCAAAAAGGGGCGTGGTCACCAAATTCTCAGGTATGATCAATAACTGCCATATCTAACTACTACAACTTTTGTTTTCAGCAGAAATATCTTTTTTTATATTTTTTATGATTAAATATGAATATGATTTTTGAATAACTTTTTTTCAAAAAGGGGCGTGGTCACCAAATTCTCAGGTATCATCAATAACTGCCATATCTAACTACTACAACTTTTGTTTTCAGAAGAAATATCTTTTTTATATTTTTTATGATTAAATATGAATATGATTTTTGAATAACTTTTTTTCAAAAAGGGGCGTGGTCACCAAATTCTCAGGTATCATCAATAACTGCCATATCTAACTACTACAACTTTTGTTTTCAGAAGAAATATCTTTTTTATATTTTTTATGATTAAATATGAATATGATTTTTGAATAACTTTTTTTCAAAAAGGGGCGTGGTCACCAAAATCTCAGGTATAACCAATAATTAAAATATCTCATGGGTTTGTCAGTGGTGTTGAAGCTGATTCCACAAAGCTGGATGTGGTCCAGTTCCACTGCTACGGAGATAAAATAATGTTCTATTGTAACAGGAATTACATTTCATTATTTTATGAGTAATATGCAAATACACATAGTATATACAATTATCAAATATCACATACCATTGTGCAATGGACACAACACTGCTCTCTTATCACATTCTGAAGAATTTGGTGACCACGCCCCCTTTTTAGAACAAAAGCTATTGAAGATTGATAATTAATCATAAAAAATGTAACAAAGAGATAAATGCTGCAAACAAAGGTTGCAGTACTTAGATATGTTAATTATTGATTATAACTGAGATTTTGGTGACCACGCCCCTTTTTAGAACAAAATTTATTGAAGATTGTGACACTTGTCATGTCAGGATGGCACTTATGAAGATGTTGGAGGAACAAAGTGCACACCCAGGGTGCAGGTTTATTTACATTGGACAGCATGTCATGCAACACTCTCTCTGTTCAGAGTTGGTGGCCTGCTTTTATAGCATATGACAGTAATTAAGCAATACTAACTGCAGCCCTACAGCAATAATTAAAGTAGTGCTTTTACACTCTTTTTATTATTATTATTTAAATTTACAAATGATTTATTTATTCTAAAACTATACTAAACTGGAAAGATAAAACCCAGGAAACCCCTCCACCGTCTCTGCAGAGTGGATGAACCCGGAATCCTCTTCAGGTGCTCCGGCTCCTCAGGACTTATTTGGCCGGAACGCCTAAAGAGGGCAGACAAGGGAGTAAAAGATAAGTATATTTAAATGTTGTACATTTATTCATTTTCCTTAACTCACACTCTTTTCCTTTACAGGTCCGCACCTTCACATACAAATCAATCTTTAATAAATGTTTTAAAACATTAGAGTCTGTCTAATTCATACTCCTGTTAACCCTCGTAAAGGACTCTTCTCCATTTATAAAAAGCCATTGAAGATTCAATCATAAAAAATATGAAAAAAGGTATTTCTGCTAAAAACAAAGGTTGTAGTAGTTAGATATTGTAGTTATTGATCATACCTGAGAATTTGGTGACCACGCCCCTTTTTGAAAAAAAGTTATTCAAAAATCATATTCATATTTAATCATAAAAAATATAAAAAAGATATTTCTTCTGAAAACAAAAGTTGTAGTAGTTAGATATGGCAGTTATTGATGATACCTGAGAATTTGGTGACCACGCCCCTTTTTGAAAAAAAGTTATTCAAGATTTGTAGTCATATTTCATCATATTTAATCATAAAAATATAAAAAAGATATTTCTGCTGAAAACAAAAGTTGTAGTAGTTAGATATGGCAGTTATTGATGATACCTGAGAATTTGGTGACCACGCCCCTCTTTGAAAAAAAGTTATTCAAAATTCATATTCATATTAAATCCTATTTATTCATAAAAAATACAAAAAAGAAACAAATGCTGAAAACAAAGGTTGTAGTAGTTAGATATGGTAGCTATTTATAGTATTTGAGAGTTTAGTGCGTGTACTTGGCTTAAAATAAAAACTATTGTTCGTTTACACAGCTGGTATTGGCATTTGTTGACGCTCCCTAAGTGCTTTTCTCGGCACTTGCGGCGCATTGGATTCAATGGATTTCTCTGCATTAAAACAGCGCATTGGATTAGAAAAATCGATGTTGTAGTAGTTAGCCCATGTAGAGGTGATCATTTTGGCACAATTACTTTCGTTTAACAACGTAGCTTTCGTAAGATATTCACCGCGGAAGTCCGAATCTGTGAATATCAAGCTAACTTTACCGAACTAGGCAAAAGGCAGGCAGCCTGCATGGGACCACAGGACCACTCAGGTTTGGGGACTTGAGCTAATGTTGAGGGATTTAACCTCCCTTGGCATTGTGCAAAGCCAGGACCAGGCTAACCCACATGAGCTGCAGCGGCGTAGCAGAGCTGTCACTAGGGGAACACACTATTACTAGACTATTTAAATGCCCCCAATTGACCCCAGAGCATTATACCTATGACAGAGAGTGCGCGCGCAGTGGCGGCTGCAGAGTGTAAGGCAGCCCCTCGTCAGCCTGGAGGGACAAAGATACAGAGCTAGAAGTGTGTTTTCTAACCATTGCATGTGTAATCATTAACATTGCACTAGCGCAGCATCTCGTACCTGGCCAGACGCAGACTGGGAAGCAGCAGGGGGGGCGTGTCCAAAAGGGGCGCACCCGAGACGCGCATTTATAGAGCCAACCAAATGCTGTGTCTTAAGGGGACAGGCGCGACCCGTTTCAAGCACAGTTTAATTCATATTGTCACACTAATATAACTGATGTTGTAGTTTATACTTTTGTCATCCAAGTCTAGAAATGATCACTTTCCACACTTGTAACAAAAGGCACTCTTGTCTTTAACGTTTACGCTTCTATTTTATTGAGGTAGCAAACTAGTTTAAACTCAAAATCTCTTTCTAAAAAACAAAAACAACTGTTGGATACAACCCTCTCATAGCTCAACTGTAGATAAACTCTGCAAAAAAAATGTAAATAACTCACAAAAGCTCTCATAGCTCCACTTTAGATAAAACTCGGCATTCTCCGGTGAACTCTGTTCACTCCAAAAACAAAAACTCCCTTTTTCTGTATGTAATTTAAACCGTGATCACTGAAATATTGTTGCTTCTTTACTTTTGTCATTTATCAAGCCTGGAATTGGTTAATTACAAAACTTTTTGTGACAAAAGGCCTCCTTAACACGTTTCCCTTTTTAAAAATTGCTTTTAATTTTACACCATGGTTTCACTTAGGATCCTGCTCCAAGGGACTTAAACCCTGAGACTGTGTGTCTCCAAGGGACTTAAACCCTGAGACTGCTCCAAGGGACATAAACCCTGAGACTGCTCCAAGGGACATAAACCCTGAGACTGCTCCAAGGGACATAAACCCTGAGACTGCTCCAAGGGACCTAAACCCTGAGACTGCTCCTTTCAATACAATTTAGAGAGTTTGACAGACCCCAAAAACAGACCAAAATTTAGCTAATATCCAATTATGCAGACTTTACATATTAAAAAAGGTGTCTGCTTACCTTAATTCTTTGTCCGGACTGTCCAAGAGGTCTGCCAACTTCTTTTCCGCGTCGGAATATTCAATTTAAAAAACAAAAGTGACAGAAGCGACAAGAAGCATCCAGGAACAGCTCTTCCAGCCTGCTGGAATCTCCGCTCCCAGACGCAGCATGCCGATCTCTCACGCCGAGGAAAAGAAACAAAGCAAACTCCCTCAAAACAATCCAGAGAATGGCACACACCGAGCCGCGCATTCTCCACCAAATCTGTCAGGATTCAGCAGACAGAGACGGATCGTGGTGTGCCAAACTCTGGAAGTTTATTTACGTTTCTCTCAAGTTCCACTGGTTTACTCTGTTTCTTTCTCTCAGACAGAATAAAGGCAGTACACAGTTTATATAGTCATTGTCACGTCACACATCGAAAGACATACGTGTCACAAAGAGACAGTCAAATCATAGTCATAACATGGAGTCCTTGTAGAGTCCTTGTAGAGTCCTGCACGTAGGCCATATTGCTATCTAATACTAACAGGCCCCTGCTTTAGGCCTCTGCTGTGAGGCCCACACCGTCATCAGTCTCGGTGCCTCTGTGTAGATCACACGTCTGTCCTCGGGCTGGAGTGTTCTGAGGCTTTAAGGAAGGAGCGATCCTGTTTGTCAGCATGATTTTTTTGTTTAAGGCCCAGTTTAGACGGAGGCGCTGCCAAGTTATTAACAGAAACGACCAGGCTCCTAATACAAATTTTTAGAGTTCACACAAGGATCAAAAACGATGTAGTTCTAGCGCCCGGCCAGTAGGGGGCAGAGAAACTTTACAACACACACACGCGACCCCCAGCCCCCCCAGGTAGTATACTCACTTCCTGTTCAAGACGTGAAAGAACCAACATCATTCTGCATTTTAACAGCAGCTGTAAAAATGGAAACTGAACCTAGAGCTTCCCGTGGTCTCGTTTAGACGAACGAAGGAGTAGAATTATCCTCCGTGTAGCGCTCGAAGCACACGAAGCTAGTTGGTGCAACTTCAGCCATTGTTGTTTACGTTTGTTCTACTGCGCATGTCCAAATGTACGTGCGGGGAGCAGCAGGGAGGTGGGGGTCAGATCAGAGGGGATTTCACACCTTTTTCCCTCAGTGTGAAAGAGCGCCCCCTGCTGAGCATCTGAGCTGTCCCACTCTGAGGCTGGATCTGAGCACTTACGTTTTCACCTGGAACACAGTCTCCGTATGAACGGGGGGTAGCAACTGACACCAACTATAGTGTTTTACTGCCACATTGTCTCTGTGTAAACGGCCCCTTACATGTCTTCCTTAATCCCAGGTTCTCCGTCAGACTTGGGCCGAAGAGCGGAGCTATCGGGGGAAGACCATCCGCCGGGTCTTCATCTCAGGGACCAGAGGGAGCGGCGAGGAGAGGAGGCACCTGGACCAGCTCCTGCAGGAGGAGGGGAGGACCTACGGGGACCTCCTGCAGTGGGACTTCACCGACTCCTTCTACAACCTGACACTGAAGCAGCTGCTGTTCCTGGACTGGTTCCAGACCCGGTCTCGCCGCTGCCGCTTCCTGATGAGCGGAGACGACGACATCTTCGCCAACACCGACAACATGGTGGAGTTTCTGCTCAGTCGCCACGGCAACGACGGAGACCAGCACCTGTTCGTGGGTGAGTCCGATGGTTCTGTATGACCCAGAGCTGGCTAGGCTCTCTCTGGTCTTTTTCTGGTGTCTCTCTTGTGTCTCTCTAGTCTCTTTCTGGTCTCTCTCGTCTCTCTTTAGGCTCTCTCTCTATAATCTCTCTGTACTCTCTCTCTGGTCTCTTTGTACTCTCTTTCTGGTCTCTCTGCTCTGTCTCTGGTCTCTCTGTACTCTCTCTCTCTGACCTCCTATCACCTCCTCTTCGTAGGGTGCGTGCTTTTCCAGTCGGCTCCGATCAGAGACATCTACAGCAAGTACTACAGTGCCTTGCGAAAGTATTCAGCCCCCTTGAACCTTTCGCCACATTTCAGGCTTCAAACATAAAGATATAAAAAATAAATGTTTTGTCAAGAATCAACAACAAGTGGGACACAATCGTGAAGTGGAACGAAATTTATTGGATAATTTAAACTTTTTTAACAAATAAAATACTGAAAAGTGGGGGGTGCAATATTATTCGGCCCCTTGCGCTAATACTTTGTAGCGCCACCTTTTGCTGCAATTACAGCTGCAAGTCGCTTGGGGTATGTCTCTATCAGTTTTGCACATAGAGAGACTGGAATTCTTTCCCATTCTTCCTTGCAAAACAGCTGGAGCTCAGTGAGGTTGGATGGAGAGCGTTTGTGAACAGCAGTCTTCAGCTCTTTCCACAGATTCTCGATTGGATTCAGGTCTGGACTTTGACTTGGCCATTCTAACACCTGGATACGTCTATTTGTGAACCATTCCATTGTAGATTTGGCTTTATGTTTTGGATCATTGTCCTGTTGGAAGATAAATCTCCGTCCCAGTCTCAGGTCTTTTGCAGACTCCAACAGGTTTTCTTCCAGAATGGTCCTGTATTTGGCTCCATCCATCTTCCCATCAATTTTAGTCATCTTCCCTGTCCCTGCTGAAGAAAAGCAGGTCCTGCTGGTGCCGAGTCAGGACTCTGAAACCGTCTTCCTTAAAATGTGAGACAGGCTTTTTGTCTCAGTTCTTGACTCCAGGTTAAAAACTGAGAGAATGTGTCTTTTTACTGTCTTGTCTGATTACATGAACTTTCCATACCACCCAATACTAATACATTACGATATGCTAAGAATGTATATAGATCCATGATATAGAGGGACATTGCTAACCTGCTAGCTAGGTCTAGGACCAGGTGGAAGAGTTCTGGTCCAAAAGAAAAACACATGGTACTCCTTGGTTCACAACTTTATTCGGGAATGACAACAGTGTCAAATTAAGATTCAGAGTTTAGCCCCGTTTCCATCAAACCCTACTCTACTGCTCTGGTCCGGCTTAACCAGTACCAGGTCTTTCTTTAGTCCCTCTTGGTCCTGGTCCTATCTAGGCCGAGCTTGTACTTAAGTGTTCTAACTGACAGTGACTGGACACAGTGCTGCTGAGGAGAGGGAGAGAGAGAGATGCGAAAGAGTGAGATGAGAAAGAGAGGTAGTACTAGGAATTTCCACAGATACTGGTTTGTTGTGGGTCGGTTGCTAGGATACGGTAGCAGAGACTGAAGAGCAGAGCAGAGTTGGTGGAAACGGGGCTTCTGTACGGAAGATCATGATTCCTGGTCGTCTCATTCTCCGGTTCAGTCTTCACTTCCTGCTTGTACCTGGTCTTTGTGACATCACAGGTGAAAACGAAAGACTCGATAAAATAGTTTATAATAATGTCTATAATCGACAAAACACATTCACACAAACAGGAAAAACAGTGACGTTACATAAGAGACATAGTGGAGCGACTACGGCTGCGTCCCAATTCAACACGAACGCCTCCTTCCTTAATCTTTGCCGTTTGGAGAGATTTAAAAATTTACCTTTTCTGACACGGGGAAGCTCCAGCTTTGGTCACGTGACAAACACAACCATAAAGATGTTTTTGAAGCCGCAAATGTCGTTAGAAATGAGAAGGAAAGACTGGAAAGGAGGCATGTGTTATGAATTCGGATGCAGCCAACCCCATTGCAGAGATACAGACATAGGAGTGTATGGAATTGCATTATAACAGTGGCCTCCGGTGGTCGATTCGTGTAACTGCAGCACTTTACCACACTGGTCACGTGCATCTGAACGCCTTTGGAGCATAAAGGACTGAAAATAAGTGACAAAAATCTATTGTTTGGTTTGGTTTGAAGAGGATTGATCTGAACAGTGTGGGAAACTACAGAGATACATCCTAATATCTTGAATTAAAGTAGTTTTAAATCTCAATAGTTCGGTTTAACATTTGGTTTGTTCTGAAATGAGCTTAAGATTCTCTCTTTCACATGGTGCCGAGACAAGAGCTCTGGTGTGTACTATGTGGGCCTCTTGCACCGATAGGCCAACGAGGTTTTACTGCAAATGGCAAATAAACATTATCTGAATCTGAGAAAAGAAAGACCAGACAGAGACGAGAGAGACACCAGAGAGAGAGCCTAGAGATACAGACCAATAAGGGAGACCAGGGAGAGACCAGAGGGAGACCAGAGAGACCAGAGAGAGACCAGAGAGAGACCAGAGAGAGAGACCAGAGAGACACCAGAGAGCTCTTATCACATGATCATAAAGATTCTCTCTTTTTGGTGAGCAGGTCCTTTGTCGACAGTGGTTCTATGTCCACAGCACATCTGGGGGAGGGGGTGGAGTGAGAAGCTAACAGATGTTCTTGAGGGTCTGTGTTGGTGGGGACTGGGGGGAGAGCACTGGTGGAGCCTTATGCCTGGAACTCCAGCCCCAGGCCCAGTTTGTGGCCTCCGGCGTTTATGTTTTTCCCATCGAGGAGAGCGGAGAGGGTCATCTTGATGCCTGTGGAGGAAAGGTGTTAGCATTGTCCATCTGTATACAGTCTGTGTTAGCATGTAGCATCTGTATACAGTCTGTGTTAGCATGTAGCATCTGTATACAGTCTGTGTTAGCATGTAGCATCTGTATACAGTCTGTGTTAGCATGTAGCATCTGTATACAGTCTGTGTTAGCATGTAGCATCTGTATACAGTCTGTGTTAGCATGTAGCATCTGTATACAGTCTGTGTTAGCATGTAGCATCTGTATACAGTCTGTGTTAGCATGTAGCATCTGTATACAGCCTGTGTTAGCATGTAGCATCTGTATACAGTCTGTGTTAGCATGTAGCATCTCACCAGGTTTCAGGGTCTGGGTGTAGCCGAGGCCGACGAGGCTCGAGTTGTTCACCTTTGCCTGGAAACACGACAGAAAGAGTTCAAAGTCTAAGTGTGGGTTTGAAGCAGTTACCAGTGCTTCTAAAAACAGGTTACATTGTGCCATTACATCTAAAACCATTACAATGAGTTCCAGACGCAACAGTCAGGGTTCTCGTCCCAAAACTTGTCTAGACTCTGGGTTTCTCTCCCTATTTCTCGCCCCCTCTGGTCTCTCTTTTGCGCTCCCTGGTCTCTCCCTCTCTCCCTCTCAACCCCCGGTCTCTCTCTCTCTCCCTCTCAACCCCCGGTCTCTCTCTCTCTCCCTCTCTTCCCCCGGTCTCTCTCTCTCTCCCTCTCTCCCCGGTCTCTCTCCCCTCCCCCCCCTCACTCACAGAGAAGGCGGCGTCCTGGTCGATCTGGTATTTAGCCGCGATGCCGAAGCGTGTGTTGCTGTTGCCCGCGGTCCAGGCCAGATTCACCGCTGTCTCCAGTTTATCGTTCACTTTCTGGAAGATGGAGCCTCCAAACTCTGTGCCGTCGTTCCTGAACACACACCAGAAACACCATCAACACCATCAACACAAGAGAAAACAGAAAAAAAAGAGGAGCCAGAGAGACCAGAGAGAGGCCAGGCAGACTAGAGAGAGACCCGAGAGAGAGACCAGAGAGAGACACCAGAAAGAGAGACCAGAGAGAGAGACCAGAGAGAGAGACCAGAGAGAGAGACCAGAGAGAGAGACCAGAGAGGGAGACCAGAGAGGGAGAGACCAGAGAGGGAGAGACCAGAGAGGGAGAGACCAGAGAGGGAGAGACCAGAGAGGGAGAGACCAGAGAGGGAGAGACCAGAGAGAGAGAGAGACCAGAGAGAGAGACCAGAGAGAGAGACCAGAAAGAGAGACCAGAGAGAGAGACCAGAGAGAGAGACCAGAGAGGGAGAGACCAGAGAGAGAGAGACCAGAGAGAGAGAGACCAGAGAGGGAGACCAGAGAGGGAGACCAGAGAGAGACCAGAGAGAGAGACCAGAGAGAGAGACCAGAGAGAGAGACCAGAGAGAGAGACCAGAGAGAGAGACCAGAGAGAGAGACCAGAGAGGGAGACCAGAGAGAGAGACCAGAGAGGGAGACCAGAGAGAGAGACCAGAGAGAGAGGCCAGAGAGAGAGACCAGAGAGAGAGAGACCAGAGAGAGAGACCAGAGAGAGAGACCAGAGAGGGAGACCAGAGAGAGAGACCAGAGAGGGAGACCAGAGAGAGAGACCAGAGAGAGAGACCAGAGAGAGAGACCAGAGAGGGAGACCAGAGAGAGAGACCAGAGAGGGAGACCAGAGAGAGAGACCAGAGAGAGAGACCAGAGAGAGAGACCAGAGAGGGAGACCAGAGAGAGAGACCAGAGAGGGAGACCAGAGAGAGACCTAGCTTCTTACACGTTGGTGTGGAGCTGGAACTCGTCGGTCTTGTATCCGACGGCGAAGTTGCTCTGTGTGACGCGGTTGCGCCCGGCCTCGAAGGTGGTCTGGTACCCGGCCAGCCAGCCCTCGTACCCGACCACGGCCGCCCCGTGGATGGCGGTGCCGTTGATGTCGTAGTTGACGTCGCAGCCCACGTTCACGTGCTCGCACTTGTAAGCCGTCTTCAGCTTCCCGCCCTTCTTCCTGCAACAACATCGCAGCGAGAGTTTAAAGCTGAGGTACCTAACTTCAAACGTCAATCTCTCTGTGGTACCATCAAGAACTGATGGATGTTATCAGCTCTCTCTCTGGGCTCTCTCTCTCTCCGGCTCCACATCCTCTCGGACCCTGGTCCTGCATCATATCGCTCGACACTAAGCTTCTCAACAACCTCCCTGCCACGCATCTCTCGACTATCTCTCCAGAAGCCTCTCCCAGCTCACCTCTCCATTTATTCCTCCTCTCACATCGTCTCTACGTCGTCTACTCCAGGACCCATTCACGAAATTCTCTTATCTTCTCCTCTCATCTCGCACTTCAGTCCCCATTCTCTGCTTCACCTTCCTCATCTCTTCATACATCTCCCGGTTCCCTCATCCTCAGACTCCCCCCCACATACAGCGACCCCTCTCCGACCCGGATCGCGCCCCTCTCTTCCGAGATCCTCTCCTCCCTCAATGTCTCCGACACCACCCTCTCGCAACCCCCTAAAACCAACCACACCTCCCCCTTTCCACTCCGGAACTCATCTCTCTAGACCCCAAGTCCGCGAACAGCATCCGTCTGTCCTCGCGCCCTCTTCTCCCAACCCACTGGACCTGACGTATCGCTCCTTCAGCTCTCTCCCACCATCTCATCTCTCCGACCGGGCTCTCGTCTCTTCACTTCGTTCGTACTCGATCTATCCAAATGCTCGCTAACCTGCACGTCACATGTATCCGTCTGCAACTCATCGCCAGACCGAAGCACACACATGCCGCGATTCTCTCCGACATCACGGTCACTCCCTATTCTCCGACCACCCCCCTTCTTAGTCTCGCCTCTCACACGCTAACAATCCTCACTACTGTGTACTCATTCCTCTCCGCGCGTCTTCCACCCTAAAGGCCACCCCACCCCCGCCTCGTCCTCCCCTGGCACAACCACACATCCACCCCATAAAACCAGGCCCGCCCCCAGCTCCCCTTCCAGGGAATCATCGCCCGAAGCCCAATCCCAGCCTGCATCTAATCCGACCCTCCTCTCCCAACGCGCGTTATCTAAAATCGCCGCGCTCTCCATTCCTCACTCACAACTATCCCTCCTCCTCTTACTCTCCTCCTGGGCGCGCCGTCAAGACCCAACCTGATGCTCCCCCCCCATATTCATGCAATCCCCATGGGGCTCCCGTTGCGCCCCACCTCGGAGTCGATGGGCACACGTCAGCCACAAATCTCTCTTCCCATCTCATTTCCCACCTCGCCCCGTCTCGAGGGAATTGAGTAGGCTTCCTCGCCCGCCACGCACAGCGACGTCTCTCAGAGCGAACTCACCGCCTCAGCATCCTTAAGCCGCAGCTCCCCACTCCATCACCCGACCCCTTCCACTCCCCCACCGCTGCGACCGTTCCCATCACCCAACCTCGCCTCTCCGCCACCTCCCACCCTAGCACCCACACCTCCCACTGTCATCTCAACAAGAGAACCTCTGCCTCACATCTCCCACACCCTACTCCGTCTTCGCCGTACTCACGCTCCAGCAAATAACTCTAACGTCAAAACCAAAGGCAGACTCTCTCAGTCCCCTATGTCCAACTCCAGGATCTACTCGCACTCCGGTCAGCCTAAAGTACCCACACGTACGCTCGTGTAGAGCGACTCCCCCCTGCCACCCCTCTCTTCATCACCACTGTCTCGCTCATCTCACTCAAATCTCACTCCCGGGCACAAGAACCATAACAACGCCGTGACAAAAGTCTCTCTTCCCAAGACTCGCATCGGCGCACTTTCCAACTCGACACCTCTACTTCGGCATCCTTCCGCCCCGCGCCCCGCCGCCGCACCCTGCTCAGCCCTCTCACGACTGCAACTCCTCCTCTCTCACCCCTTCCTTCTTCCACAATACGCCCCTACCGCTTCTCATCCCTCCATTCTCCGCCCCCCCCTCGCTTCATCTCAGGCAAAGCTCTCACCACAACGCCCACATCGTCTCTTGACGCCTCTCCAACGGATTCCCTCCAACTTCGAATCTAAGAACCAATACTCTGACTGTCTCTCTTCCCTCCATATATGGTGGCCCATCCACTCCCTGGCCCTCGATCTCGGGAATCCAAGCTCCTCGCTCTCAGGCAACACCCCCCCCCCCCCCCCCCCCCCCCCCCCCCCTCCCCGCTCGTAGACGTGACCGTCTAGAACCAACCCAGATCCCCTCAAAAATCGCAAATTCTTTCCTCGGTCTCTCCACGCTATCTCCTCTCCCCTACCGTCCGTCGCCATCTGCTCCCTCTAGATAAATCATGCAACAGGTCCAGTCGCAGAGGTTCTTGGCCCCCACAGCACACTCGAACTTAATCTTACCCCCCTCCGCCTCCGCAGTTCCCCCAACCATCTCAACACCCCAGCCGAACCCCCTACTCTTCATATCTTCGCTCGGTGAGGAATGAAAAGTTCCCCTCACCGAAACCTCCTAAGCCCCCCGCCCGACCCGCTGACCCGCCCTCGTCAGGTCAGCCTTTCTCCCTCAACCCTATCACACTCCACACCGCCGTTCCTCCAGCACACATACTCAATATCAGCCCCTACTCGGGTCTCCACTTTCTAAGCGCACGCCCATCCCCTACCCCCGCCTCGCTCCCTTCTCTCTCGCCCCTCTCCTCGCTCAAATTGCACTCTCTTCTCCATCTCACCCACCCCACCTCTTACTTCACGCGCGCTCGTCCTAGATTCTCTCGCTCACACTCTGCCGCTCAACCTACTCGATCTCCTCTCCTAATCTCGCACACCCATCTCCCGATCCCCAGCAACACCACGATCCCTCGATGCAGCCAGTCTCAACGCACGTGGACCTCCACTCCCTCGATCGCTCCGACAAGCACCCACCTAACAGAATCTTTCTCCCGCCGCGATTGTCCATCTCACCCGAGTCCGACGCTCCCCCTCAGTCTATAACCCCTCGAAGCATCAATCGGCTCCGTCAGCTCCCGGCGCCTCCGGGACTCAATTCTTTACTACTCTCACTTCGGCGCAGTCATCTCACGTGGCGACCCAAACCGCCCTCTCTCTCCGCCGGACTTCTCTCAAAGCACGGCGCCACACCCCTTACACCTACTTCCACCGAAGACGAAAGCTCCGCCCCCGATCAGCTTCTGCCCGCAGAACGGCGAACCGATGTCGATCAAACCATTCTCCACGGCCCGGGATCCTCTCAGCAATTCACCCCCCTCCGCGAACTCGTCTTTTGAACGAGTCCCTCAAAAAGGGCCTGCCGGCTCTCCCTTCCGTCAGCTCTCCGAAATCACGCCCCTCCTCTCACCTTCTCTCTCGACCCCGCCACCCCACCACCAGATCACTCATCAAAATCAGTTCTCTCCTTCAGCTCGTATCATCCGACGACCCTCATCACTCCCCCAGTCGGCAGCTCGTCACTTCTCCTCCTATCCTCATCCTCTCCGAACCCCCGGCCACCCCTTCTCAATCTCTCCTCCGCCACGCATGACCAGCCCTCTCCGCTCTCCCCCGCAATGTATATCCGAAGTCCTCCGCACTGCGATACCCCTCCTCTAAGAGCCCTCTCCACCCTCCCCTGCACAGCAACCTCACCCACCTCTCCACCTCATTCCCCCCTCCCCGGGTCACTTCCAACTCGATGGCTTCGCTTCTCGTGCATCAAGCCCTCTCCCACTCTCTATCCCACCCTCAATCGCAATCCTTCCTCATCTCATCCTCCCATTCTCCCATCCGCTTCTCCCAGTAAACGGGTCCTGCTCACCTGTCAATCGCATACTCAACCATGACGCGCAGGCATCTCTGCCAGATCTTTACTCAACTCAACTCCTCGTCAAACTCGGACTCGCTCTCAGCAGTATATCAATCTCCCCATCCTCACCCTCCCCTCCCGCGGGTCTCAATCGAGCAGCCCAGCATCCCCTCCCTCCCTCCAGGCCCTAGCTGGCGCCTCACCGTCTCGCGCACGGGTCACTCCGCACACCTACACTCTCCGTACTCCTACCTCGTCAGGCGGCACCGAAGGGCCAATGAGCTCTTCACGCCATCCTGTACCCAATCTCACCTCCCAGCCGCCTCCTCAGTCACCGCACGATCCCACCCAGCCGCACTCGCGCATATAAGCTCCCCCCGTAAGCCGTCCAACTACGAAGCCGTGACACCACATCTTCCACAAACAGAAACCCCGTAACTCCACAACTTATATCCATCTGTCCGGTCTAACGAGGGAAACCGCAACATCCTCCTCGCACAAGATTAACCGTTTTCGGTCTGTTCCCCAGTCCCCCTCTCACATCGAAATACCTCCCCTCTATCGCTACCGGTCTAGAGGGCAGCAACCAATCGTAATTCTCACATGTAAGACCGCCTCTCTCCACGCGAATGTGGCGTCTACCTCACTTCAGAACTCATGATCATTCGCATACCGTCCGGGACGCCGCCGGCCACTCGTGTCCCCCCGCTCTTCTCAGTGTTCAGAATCCTGCCTTTACTCCTCACTCGTATCCAGGGACGACCTTAGACCACTTGTTAGTCAGGTCCCTTGTCCAATTCCTACCTATCTCGAGCCAACCTCTATCTTCTCTCTAGGCGGTCTCCCATCACTCTCACTCGACATGGGTGAGTGGCCACCGACACACGTAGGCCCATCTCGCTCTCGCCTCCCGATGTGCTCTCGTGATCCGCACAACGGTTTTCTGGGGCCACAGCTTTCTCAGCCCGCCGCCCGCTCTGCAAACCCACTTCACCGCAGAACACGTAATAGCTACTTCGCAGATCGGAGCCGGCCTCACGCACATTCCGTACCTCTCACGGCGAGAGCGTGGAGTAACTCTCAGCAGGACGGGAGCCCCTAAGCTCCGCGCCTCTCTACGTCTCAGCCGAACGCTCTGAAAGCTCGTTCCATAAAAGATCTCTCAGAGCGGGGGGGGGGGGGGGGGGGGGGGGGGCCCCCACGTACAGTACCAACACGCTTCACCCCCGCGGCGAGGCGCAGGCCTCTCGGCTGAGGTGTCCCTCGGTCCCTCCGAGATTCCCTCAGCCCCACACCTCTCGGTCATAGGATTTCTCCTCTCTGCGCACGTTTCTCAAAGATAATCTCAGGGCGGGCCCGTTTACGAGAGCACCGATTCTCTCCATAGGAGCCAAATTACGACCTGCGGCGATGGAGATCTACGTGAACTCACCAATACCCCTCCAATCTACCCTGCGTCATGAACCCAACCCCCCGGACATCTTCTCCAATTGCTACTCGCGCAGCCGCAGTCAAAACCGAACCGACTGCGCCCGGCTCAAATCTTCATCGCATCCTAACTACTGGGCAGTGGTATCCACCCAAATGGGGGGGGCGGAGCCCGGGTAGGACTCGGCGTCTTCTCTCCCTCGATACAAGCCTCGTCAAATCCGACCGGGGGGGAATCTCTCTCAATTCGTCGTATTTCTATCATACGGACCCGCAATACCGGCATGGGCGAGAGAGAGGGACCAGAGTGAAACCAGAGAGAGAGAGCTTCAACTTCCGGCTGTTCCACACCGGTGCCGGTCTCGAGTCTCACAGAGAGATACCAGAGAGGGAGAGACCAGAGAGAGAGAGAGAGAGAGAGAGAGACCAGAGAGAGAGGGACCAGAGTGAAACCAGAGAGAGAGACCAGAGAGGGACCAGAGAGAGAGACCAGAGAGATACCAGAGAGGGAGAGACCAGAGAGAGAGAGAGAGACCAGAGAGAGAGGGATCAGAGTGAAACCAGAGAGAGAGATCAGAGAGATACCAGAGAGGGAGAGACCAGAGAGAGAGAGAGAGAGAGACCAGAGTGAGAGGGATCAGAGTGAAACCAGAGAGAGAGACCAGAGAGGGACCAGAGAGAGGGACCAGAGAGATACAAGAGAGGGAGAGACCAGAGAGAGAGGGACCAGGGAGAGACCAGAGAGATAGATTAGATTATAAAGAGCGATCTCTTTATGAGCTCTTTACCATCACCTATCACAGAGAGACCAGAGAGAGACCAGAGAGAGACCAGAGAGAGACCAGAGAGAGACCAGAGAGAGACCAGGGAGAGACCAGGGAGAGCCCAGAGAGAGACCAGGGAGAGACCAGAGAGAGCCCAGAGAGAGACCAGAGAGAGACCAGAGAGAGCCCAGAGAGAGCCCAGAGAGAGACCAGAGAGAGACCAGAGAGAGCCCAGAGAGAGCCCAGAGAGAGCCCAGAGAGAGCCCAGAGAGTGAGACCAGAGAGTGAGACCAGAGAGAGAGACCAGAGAGTGAGACCAGAGAGTGAGACCAGAGAGTGAGACCAGAGAGTGAGACCAGAGAGTGAGACCAGAGAGTGAGACCAGAGAGAGAGACCAGAGAGAGACCAGACAGAGACTGTTTCTCTGCTCATCATTCTCAGCTCATAAAGACATCGGACCATAAGCGTCACACCTGGAGGCTGAGGGCGAAGGAATGACAGCGGGGCATGCTGGGCATGCTGGGAGATGTAGTTCCCAGCGGCTGAGGCCTGTGGGTCGGAGGTGACATCATTATGCAGCTGTGATGGATGGATCGTATCATTTTCAGATATGGACACCTGTTTGTGGAGGGCAGACGGACCACACTGAGGCATGCTGGGAATTGTAGTCTGTCCTTGGATTAGTTGGACAAAGACAAATGTTGGAAAGGTGACTTTGTTTGTAAATAAGATGTTCGAGTGTGGAGTGAGAGAGAAAAGCCAAACCAGAGAGAAAGAGGGAGACCAGAGATAGACCCAAGAGAGAGAGAAACCAGAGAGAGACTGGAGAGAGACCAGAGAGAGACCGTAGAGAGAGAGAGAAACCAGAGAGAGACCAAAGAGAGAGAGAGACCAGAGAGAGAGAGAAACCAGAGAGAGACCAGAGAGAGACCGGAGAGAGAGAGAGACCAGAGAGAGACCAGAGAGAGAGAGAAACCAGAGAGAGACCAGAGAGAGACCGGAGAGAGAGAGAGACCAGAGAGAGAGCAGAGAGAGACCGGAGAGAGAGAGAGACCAGAGAGAGAGAGAGACCAGAGAGAGACCAGGGAGAGAGACCGGAGAGAGAGAGCGAAACCAGAGAGAGGAAGAGAAACCACAGAGAGAGACCAGAGAGAGGTCGGAGAGAAGAGAGAAACCAGAGAGAGACCAGAGCGAGATACTAGAGAGAGACTAGAAAGGGACCAGTGTATAGTATAGTGTATAGTGGAGTGTATATATATATCCTTTCAGATTCATTTATTTGCCATTTGCAGTAAAACCACATTGGAAAAACTGTGCAAGACTACCCCGGTGTGCGCCAGACAGAGACGACACACACCAGAGCTCTTGCCACGAGAGAGTAGTCTCTTTGGGGTTCAGGGGTCAGGGTTCACGCTGCATTGAACATGTGACAAATGCCATCTGTCCATTTCTGATTTAGATCCAAGTCCAAGAGCCAAGGAGAGGCTAAAGGGACTAGTGAGGGACTGGAGAGAGACCAGAAAGAGACCAGAGAGAGAGAGCAGTGAGAAAGACCAGAGAGAGACCAGAGAGAGACCACAGAGAGACCATAGAGAGAGTATGGAGAGACCAGAAAGAGAGACCAGGGAGAGACTAGAGAGAGACCAGAGAGAGAGCAGGAAGAGACCACAGTGAGACCAGAGAGAGACCACGGAGAGAGGATAGAGACAGACCATAGAGAGACCAAAGAGAGACCAGGGAGAGAGACCAGAGAGAGAGACTCGGGGCGACACCAGGGACTCAAGACCATGTAGGTTCTTTAGGAACTTTAATGTAGTCCAGAAGTGAGACCATAGACTCTGGTCTCTCTCTTGTGTATCTCTCTGGTCTTTTTCTGGTCTCTTTTGCTCGTTCTCGTCTCTCTCTGGTCTCTCTCTCTCTGGTCTCTCTCTCTCTCTGGTCTCTCTCTCTCTGGTCTCTCTCTCTCTCTCTCTCGCTGACCTCTCTCTCTGGTCTCTCTCTCCCTGTTTTCTCTCTCTCCCTGGTCTCTCTCCCTGGTCTCTTTCTCTCTCTCCCTTCTCTCTCTTTCTCTCCCTGGTCTCTCTCTCTCCCTGGTCTCTCTCCCTGGTCTCTCTCCCTGGTCTCTCTCTCTCTCCCTGGTCTCTCTCTCTCCCTGGTCTCTCTCCCTGGTCTCTCTCTCTCCCTGGTCTCTCTCCCTGGTCTCTCTCTCTCCCTGGTCTCTCTCCCTGGTCTCTCTCTCTCTCCCTGGTCTCTCTCCCTGGTCTCTCTCTCTCTGAGCTGAATTGTGTTTTAAGCATTTTTATAGAGCCCCTAATCTCCACCTTCAAATTCAAACCCGGGACAAAAACCACTGAATAAAACATGACAGACTTCAGGAGGTCTTTCTGTGTCGCTGCCCTCTGTGTTCGGGGAGGGGACTCGGAAATGTCACACACACACACACACACACACACACACACACACACACACTAATTGTGAGGGTTATTGATCGTCGGTGGCGGTGTGTTGTCCGCGGGGTAAGTGAGATGGATGGACTTGTCAGCTTGTCATCAGCGGAAGGTTTGGAAGGGTTTGTGGACAACGTGGCCTGGGGCGTGTAGCGGGGGAGAGGGGGGAGACAGGGGGGAGAGAGAGGGGGAGGCAGAGGTCAAACAGGCTCTGAGCTGCTGCTGCTGTTGTGAAGCGACTTTGAAGGAGTCCGACTTTACTGCAGGAAGAAACAGGACCTTATTTGTGATGATGGTGTTCACGTTGGCGTTTGGCTTTTTTAAAGGACTGTGCTATACCAATAAACCTGCTTCACCTCATGTTTTAGAATGTGAACGGATGTATCAAGTGCAGGACCTGTACGTCGCCCGAGCTCGAGGCCGGGCTGGTCGTGTCACAGCCGACCCGTCTCACCCCGCACATGGAACAGTTTCTTCCCCTCTGCTGTTGGACTCTTGAACACTTCATAAGCTGTCCCCCCGCCCTCTAGAAGTCCCCTCGCTGTCCCTGATTAAGTCACTTTAATGCCATCATAGCGTCACTTTACTGCTGTGTGTGTGTCTGCTTCTGTCTGTGTGTGTGTCTGCTTCTGTCTGTCTGTGTGTCTGTGTGTGTGTGTGTGTCTCTCTCTCTGTGTTTGTCTGCTTCTGTCTGTCTGTGTGTCTGTGTGTGTGTGTGTGTGTCTCTCTCTCTGTGTTTGTCTGCTTCTGTCTGTCTGTGTGTGTGTGTGTGTGTGTGTGTGTCTCTCTCTGTGTGTGTCTGCTTCTGTCTGTCTGTGTGCACTTGTTTTCAACTCCTGGTGGGTTCCATAACCTGAGATTCCACTCACGTCATGGGGACTGGTTTTACGTGGTGGGGCCCGAACACCGGACCCCACTGGTCCAAGCTTAATAATCAATGGGTAATGCTTTTCTAACGGTCCTTATGCAGTCTCTGTAAAAATATGGAAAGGACCCCTGGAGGTTTACTTTCCTGAAAAAAGTGTGTTATGTGTCGGAACCCTGGTGGTGGGTTGCGGGATATCAAGGAGGGGCACACTGGGGCAATTTCAGTCCAGCAGGCTGGAGCCAATCATGGAGCAGCACAACAGAGGAAATCAGGTGTCAGGCTAGAAAAAGGTGCAAGTGTGTGGGTTCATTAGGCTGCAAGAAATCATGGAGGAGCACACTGAAGCGCACGCTTACAAACCACTGGTAAGTGCTGACTACAAGTCATGACTTCAAATTGTTATATAGAATGATTACAAATTATTTGTTGTTTGTGCAGCTTAGTCAAGAGTCCCTAATTGATGAAGTCGACTCAGATTCTGACGATTTAACTGTCAAGAAGAAACCTGTAAAAAAGTATGGAAAAAGAAAAATCAAAAACACTTTTCTTCAAGACTCGGAAAGTGACGAACCAAAGGCAAATAAGATTGTTATCATGCAGCTGCAAAAGAAGAAAAATGGGGGCAGGGTTTACAGCAAGAGACACTTCTGCCTCTACTGTTCAATGTCCTGCCACAAAATGTCCCGTCATTTGACTAGAAAACATGGAAATGAAAGTGACGTAGCCAGAGCATTGGCTCTACCTGTGAAATCTAAAGCACGTAAACTTCAGTTTGATTTGATCAGGAATAGTGGAAACCGT